TACTGCTCCTTTAATAATTACCTTATAAGTTTTATATGATGCTTAGCTCATCAAAGTCTATTTCCACAAGGGATTATTAGCCAGTTTTTGTCAATCTCTCTCTCTCCTGGTCCCTAACATTTCTCGTCTACTTTGGAGTGCTTCATTGCTCTGACTTCATTTGGCGGTCAGCCAGGCCTTAGTCTAGTCGATGCTTTTCAAAGATTGTTTTATTCCCCTCCAACTGGAATTTTTCTGTTTGGTTTTTGGTAGTGGGGGCAGGCGCTCTACCACTCGAGCCACAGCCCGACCCTTTTTATGTCAGTCATTTTTTCAGATAGGGTCTCACATTTTTTGCCCTGGCCAGCTTTGGGCCACGATCCTCCTACCTGCGCATCTCATGTAGCTGGAATCACAGGTGCACACCACCAGGCCTGGCTTGATTGTTGAGATGGGGTCTTGCTAATCTTTTTGCCTGGGCTGGCCTCACACCTTCACCTCCTGAGTAGCTGGGATTAGAGGCATGAATCACCATGCTCTGCAAGTCTTAACTGCTTTTAAGATTTTAGTGGGATTGCAGTTTCACTGTGGTACATTTACCTATGGGTGTCTTTTTATTTGTTGGCATTTGTTAAGCTTGACTCTGCTTATTGGTGTTTTTCCTGAGTTCCTGGACATTTCTCAGCCATTAACTCTTCACAAAGATTTCTTCCTTTTTCAAGTAAAAAAATCATTTCCTCGTTCTGAAACAGATCAGACACCTGTGCTGCTGCTAACTTTGTTCTCAGATCTCCTGATTCTGTGTTCTGGATTTGTTCAGATCTTACTTCCATGTCACCAGCACTCACTCTCTAGTTACGTAGTCTGTTTTAATATTATTCACTGACGGGTTTTCGTAGTTTTTAAAAAAAAAATCTGAAGGTTTTAAGTTTTCTGCCCTTCTGTTTATGGGGACATATTAAGCATGCTTATTGTCTGTTATGTGTTTAATAATTTCATGTTATGGTGGAATTAATTTTACATCTGGTTCCACCGTCTGTTGTTTCTGGTGGTGTTGCTCTTGGTGGCTCATTTCCTTATGTGTTTAGAAATCGTAGATTTGACTGCTCATTTTCCTTGAACCCTCGCTATCTGGGTTCCATGAGAGCTGGAAAGGAGAGAGAGGACTTGCTTGCCTCTCTTAGGTGACTTGGGGACACTACCATTTGGGGACCATGTTATATTCTCCTGTAGAGGTTTTATTGGGCTAGTCAGGTAGTGCGTATCTGGCTGCAAAACTGAGGGTCTACTCCTGATTCCAAATTCTCGGGGGATTTTTTTTCCTACTCTGCTCAGCACCAGCCTTCATTGTGGATTCACCGTTACGTTGAAAGTCCTCTTTGGGAAACCAACTTGACAGGGGATGTCTCCTTTTGAGTGGCCTATATGATGGGGAGGGTGGTTTGAGGCTGACCTCAGAACATAGACTATGAGGCATAAGTATTCTTTCCGTTATTTTCAGCTCACGGATGTGTTTAAGACTTTAAAACCTTTATCCCATGTTTCTGGTTTTCCACACAGGCTTATTTCCTAGGAACTGTCTACCATATTGCCAGAAAAGGAAGCCCTCCTTCAGCTAGCTGATGTGATGGTTTGCGATGCTAGCTTCTGACACGGACCCTTTGCACGTTGCCTGGTGCAGAGGGGGTTGCCAGTGAGAGCTCAGTCTTTTGTGACTATAATTGTCTTGGATTTATGAGAATTTTTCTTTGCAGTGCCGGGGCTTTGCACACAAGCTGAGCAATCCTCTACTGTGGAGTTCTTACTCCACCCAATTTTTTTTTTTTTTTACGTATTGTGCTGAATATTCCTTATGTTTTAGAACTGTCTTTATTGGGGTTTGTTGAAGTTACACGTGCAGGCCAGCTTCATAAACAGAATAAGCTAATGTTTGTCCCTGCCTTTCTCTGGGTCGCATACACTTTGAATTGGTCTGGTATCCTGTTCTGTCTCCTCTTGCTGAGCCCCAGCCCTGGAGGTGAGGGAACCTCAGGCCTCCTGTTTCCCCTTACAGATGACTCTTTCAGACACCTACCCCAGTCTGTCACGAGCAACAATTTGGACCCCAGAGTTTGGGGAACTCAGAGTTGCCTGGTACTTCTGTTTGGCCCTTCTCCAGCCTCATCTCCAAGGCCCTGTCCCAGTCTGGTGCTGCAGCTACCCGAGCCTGAGCTCTTGCTGGTCTTCCTGACCTGGAAGTCATCCACTGAGCAACCATTTACAGAGCATCTGTTAATGCCAGGCACTGGCCAGGCCAGTGCATAAGCAGCAGGATTCGCACCCCCATGGGTGACAGGCGACGACCAACAGAGAAGTATGGTACACAGTATGACGAGGTGCTCAGAGGGCCTGGAGAAAGGGCAGCTTGCAGCTCTCTAGCTTGTTAGGTATCTGAAGGTCAAGTTCTCATAGCCCTCCCTTTCCTGCTCCATTTGTTTTAAAAAATGTCTAGAAAAAAAATGAGCCATTTTTTTTTCTACGTGCAGTTACTGTCCTGAATACATCTCATAATGGACGCCACATTTTGAAATGTATGGTGGAACTTTGAGGGCGACTGTTAAACTTGTAGATTTGGAACCAAATGTGTGAAGATCTACCTGCTCTCTCCAGTCACACCCACAGAGGTCTTCCGTGCTCTGTATCGTTTCCTCAAATGGTCAGGGTACTGACAGCCTGTGCTGCAGGTCTTTTTACGTTCTCTCCTCAGCGGTGGCTGGCAGAAAGGACACCTGAGTATAGGTCAGTCTGTATCCTGTTAGCATGGTCATGGTCGTTCTACAGCGTTGGCCTGATGTCACTCCCTGCTCATGTTTTTTTTCTGGTCCATCCAGCTCTGTGGACTGCTATCTTTGCTTTAGAGGGCTGGCCTTTGTCACTGGGCGGTGCCCATGCAGCCTGTTCCTTCCTCTGGCAGGCTCCTCCCTTGCCCTCTAGGTCAGGTCCATGCCAGAATTACCTTCCCTCTCCCCCATTCCAGTGTGAGCCGCCTCTCCATCTCGTCTGCAGGGACTCACGAGGGGCCACCTCACTACAGACAGGAAAGCAAGGGGGAAAGAGCTCCCACTGTGCCGGGGCATGGAGGCAGACAGTGAGAACCGGCTTGGATGTCACCATGGCACCCTGCCCACCCCTTCCTCTCACCTGCTCTGGCCAGGTCTCAGGAGCTAGTGATCTCAGTTGCCTGGCAACAGCAGCAGCTTCATTGTCAGGCAACACAGAACTCTCCAGGGCAGGCCTTCTCTCGTAGGGGGCTTCGGGTGCCTCTGCCTCCCCTAGACAGCCTCAGGAACCGGGGCAGGAGGGGGCTGAGGGTGGCTAAAGCACTGCGCTTCCTTGGGGAGCACCATCCTGGGGCAGTGCTGCCCTATGGCTGTGGCACCGTTAGGGCAGCTCCTGGCACACAGTGACTCCTTCCCTAGGCTCATGCTGGGTGGTACTGTCAGCCTCCTGGGCCCATGTCCTGGCACAGACCCCATCCCATCAGTTCTCATCCCTACCCCTCCAGACCGACCCTCCTCCTGCTTGGGCAGTGAGCATAGTAAAGCCCCATGTTCCTCCTCCCATGCCTTGTGGACTGTCACCTGTCACCTTTGTCAGCACCCCTTCCTTCAGCCACAAAGAGGCTCAGACACAGAGCAGTGGAAAACTCCAAAGTCAAGGTTTTTTATTCTGAGTCAGAAGGTGCTCACTCACAGCGCTGAGGGAGGCCGCTGGGCCGCCTGCCCTGCCCCACCCCACTTCTCTGGAGTGGGCATTGTAAGGCATTTCATACATTGGTGTTTTCACTTTTTTGTTTTTTAATAAAAAGCCCAGTCCTGGAGTAGAAAGAAAAGCCTGCATTGAACTTCAGAACCAAACCGAAGTGAGAAAGGTTGGAGTGGGGGCTTTGAGGGCTGAGAGTGACCACAGTGGTCCAGTCCCCCCAGAGCTGGCAGAAGCCGCTGCAAGGGGTAGGAGGAAAGGACAGGGCACAGCTGACAGGAGGCCAAACTCAGACAGGAGTATCCTGTCTTCATCGTTTTTCACTTTCACATACCGTAGAAATTTAAGCAAAATATTTGTTTTATATATATTTATATATTGTATATATAAATTAGGCAAATAAGGAGATCGGGGGCACTGAGATGGGGCACCCCAGTGCTACCTAAGGACGAGGTGGGATGCTGGGTCTCTGAGGCCCGGGTCACCAGCCCAGGCTGAGCAGAGGGTTTGTCTGTTATTGCTGATTTGGGACCTGGTTCTTGGGTGGGGAGCACCTGCCTTCCAGCCCTTCCTGGCCCCTTTGGGACCTGGGTGCCACCCCAGTGTGTGGCCAAGCCCAGGTAAAGGGCTGTTGCCCTCGGTCACATGGGGGACGCCCTCATTGGTGCCCCTGCTCCCACTGTGGGAAGTCGCTCAGGAGAGAGACCCCTTGTGCTCTGCTAGGCCAGGGCAGTCCCCCTTCTGCTCGGTCTAAGTGGCTCTGGGCTCCTGAGGAGTGGACAGCTCAGATATGAATGGGGTCTTGCTGTGATGACCTACAAAATGCTCCCAAATCAAAGGGGTCTTGCTTCCTGATGGCTTAAAAAAGGGGGTTCTTGCCACGACAACTTTATGGCAGGAAAGCGCACTTGGAAAGCTGTCTGCTGAGTGCTGTACCAAAAATACTAAAACCTTGTGGCTGGAAAGAAATGGAGATCTTTTTTGTGTTTGTTTCTAAAAAAGTCAAAAGAGGCTCCTGGGGGGTGGGGCAGTTCCTCCCTGGGTTGTGGCTGGTGACCTGGGCAGCCCATGGCCCGGGCCAGCTGGCCTGAGATGTGGTACTGGGGTGCCCATGGGGCCCAAGTCCATGGTGAAGGGGCGTGGGTGACCTGGCGCACCTGGGGACTGGGAGAACCCAGGTCAGCCATCCCCCTCTAAGGTGGGAGCCCACAAAAAGGTTTTAGGGGAACAAAAAGGAAAGAAGTGGGGGGGATTGGAGAGGGCTGGTCGGTACTAAATTATTCAGAGCATTAAAGAAAAGGTGGCACCGCCTGCACAGGTGCTGTGTTTGCTGCGGGGCGCTCAGAAGATGTCGGGGCACATGTGCCAGTCTTGCTTCTCCTTGGCCTCCCAGTAACCGCCCTTGTACACGCAGGCCATCTCCCCGGTCAGCGGGTCCAGCCTCTTCTCAAACCACAGTGGCACATAGCGGTCTGTCTCCCTCTCTGCAGGAGTGGGGGGCTGGAGAGTGAGCTGCCGGCTCCTCCCCACCCCTGCACCCCCCACCAGGACACCTCTCCCTCTCCCCCTGACCCGCCCTGTCCCTGGCACCCCGTCCTCTCCCCCTGCACCCAGCCTCACCGTCCTCCCCGCTGCAGCTGGCCGCGCAGGTCTCCATCCTGCGACGCCGCGACACGCGCTGCTTCTCCTCCAGCCGCTGCTTCTCCGTGTTGGCTTCGTCCCAGCGTCCCCTCTCCATCAGCCGCTGGTCAGGTCGCAGGCGGCTGTCTGTGGGCGCCACGCCATCCTCGTGCTCGTTGAGGGTCAGCGCCAGCTCCGAGAAGTAGTACATGTTCTCTGCGTTCTCCCTGCAGCAGCAGGGCAGCCGCTGTGTCTGTGCTGTCCCCCACTGTCCACTGAGCTGTCCCCCGCACTGTCTCTGCACTATCTCCTGTGCTGTCCTTGGGCCCAGCGGGCCTCTTGAGTCCTCTCTGACCTCAGTCTGTGTCCACCTGCATGACTCCACCTGTGCCGCCACCACCCACGTTTGCCTCACCCTTCGCTGCCCACATCTGGCCTGTGCTCCAGCCCCTTTGCTACTGGGGCCTTCCCTGGGAATGGTGAAGTTGTCACCAGTATCCTCACTGGTACTGGGTCCATGTCTGGCCTTCCATCATTTACGTCGCCTTCCCTCGTCAATATCCGTGTCAGAGACTCCTGCTTGCGTTGGGTTGAAAATTTTGTTGCTCCTGTTTTTAGGGATTTTTTTTTTTTGCCTTCCTTTTATGGCTGGTTCGTTTTGCTGTTCTTTTTCTAACTTTTTATTTATTTTTGCAACACAGGTTTGAACTCAGGGTCTTGTGCTCATCAGGCAAGTGCTGTACCTCTTGAGCCATGCCCCCAGCCCTTGTTCTCCTTTCTTGGGATGGATGCTTAGTCCATTATTTTCTAGCTTTTCTTCTAACACGACGCACGTTGAGGCCACAGGTAGTACTCTAGGTGCTGCATTACCTGAACCTCAGCAGGTATGTATGTACATATGTTTTTTGGCAGGACTGGGGTTTGAACTCAGGGCTTCACACTTGCAAAGCCCGCCCTCTACCACTTGAGCCACTCCTCCAGTCCATTTTGCTCTGGTTATTTTGGAGATGGGGTCTCAAGAACCATTTGTCCAGGCTGGCCTTGAACTGTGATCCTCTAGATTTCAGCCTCCCAAGTAGGCAGGATGACAGGTGTGAGCGTCCCATCACTTCGACACGTGCTATTTTTACTGTTATTTGGGAATATTTTCTGATTTCCATTTTATCTTCTTTGACCTGTGGATTAGTTGGAAGCCTGTTTTTTAAATTTACAAACATGTTGACTTTTCTAGTTATTTTTTTTCTAGCATAATTACGTTGGAGTCAAATAATATACACAGTGTAGTTTTAATCCTTTGAAATTTGCCTTATGGCCCAGGATATGATTGGTGTTTGCAGGTGGCCCACGTGTGAGTAAGAGAACGTTTGCAGGGGTTGTAGGTGCAGCGCTCTAGAACTGTCCAGCAGGTGTGTGGGTCACACACACTTCCTGGGGCTTCTCTTTGTTCTGTTTATCCATAACTGAGAAAGGCCGTTACGTTTCCCAGTTTTGATTATAAATTAGCCATTTTCTTCTTTTTTGTGTGTGCTGTGCTGTGTATATTCTGATGCTGGTCTATTCAAATTAGACGCTCATCTTCCTGAGGAACTGACCCCATCATCGTGAACTCTGCGTCCTAGCTCTGCTGTTGTCTGTCGCGAATTGCTTTGTGATAAGAATATAGCTAGAAGAGCTTTTGTCAGGTTAGCATTTCTATGGACAGAACTTTCTCATCCCTTTATTCCAGTCTTTGTATTCTAATTCAGAGCTGTCTCTTGCAGATGTAATAGTGGACGTAAAACCTAACTTGCTTTTGTGTTAACTTACAATGGGAACACTTAAGGTGATTACAGGGTGAGTAGCCCTTATCCAAAACGCTTGCAGCAGGAGTATTTCAAATTTGGATGTTTTCAGATTTTCAAAGATTTGCCTATAGATAAGAGGGCATCTTGAGGATGGGTCTTGAGTCTGACCCTGAAATTCCTTTGTGATTCATCCATATCATAAACGCAGCCTGAAGGAAATTCTCTTCAGCGTACGAATGCCCCTGCGTTTTGACTGCAACCCCTCCCGTGAGGTCAGGTGTGGAGTTTGCACTTGGGTTGTCACGTCGGTGTTCCAGGCGTTTTGGATTTTGGAGCATTTTGGATTCGGTTTCTTTTCTGTTTGTTGTGCCCTTGTTTAGACTCAGGCGCACAGAGTTCTCTACCTACCTGTGGGGCGCTGGGTTGTAGTTGGCAGAGCAGGAGGTAGACAGACACTTCCAAACGTGCTGGGCCACGCTACTTCCGCCAGCGGCTGTCCCTCTGTGATCCCAGCACATGGAGGCCGGCACTGCCGCGGTCTTTCTCACTGGGAACGCCTTTGCGTCTTGGCCGGCTCACCAGTAGTCTTCTCGGTTGGCAGTTCTTATTTTTCCTAAAAGAGTCAACTTTTGGTCTTACCAAATCTTCTTAACGGCAGTGGTGACTGAACACATGGTCTCGCGTGTGCTGGGCAGGTGATGGCCCCATCCCATCACTGTCTTTATACACTACTCCACTGGCAGTTGCTGTGGAGTCTGACGTCAGTCTGGATTTTCACCCTTGACCTAAACCTCCGGAAGCTATTAGAATCTTCCCCTTGGCGCTCTTAGTTTTCGCTGTGTCATGGCCGAGCTGAGTTTTTTTAATCTACCTTTATAGCTCTGCAGGTCCTTTCCATCCACTGTCTTCCATCTGCTTTTATTATGGGAGCTTTTCCCCTGGGTTTCGCGTATGCTAAGCGCACATGTGCTCTACCACTGAGCTGCGTCCTCAGCCCAGGAAAGTTATTTTCTTTATTTAACTATTCCCCCTCGTCCTCATTTTTTGTTACTTCTTTCTTTCCTTCTGCAGTTCCAGTTAAAGGTTATTATTTTAAGAATCACCCTAGAAATACCAGTGAGAACACTTCCTAGTCAGAGGTGCGTGCGCCGCCTCCTGGATGGTGCGCAAGTCTCACGTGACCATGCGGCAGGCTGTGTTCTAAAACGTAAAGCCTTGATAGAGGTTCTGTGCTTCACATTCATTTAGACCCACACAGTTTTCGTTCTTCATTCATTCATGCACCTCACATCCTTCATCTGGGATCACCTGCCTGAGGTCTGTCCGTTAGTGCAGGTCTGCCGGTGGCCGGTGTTTAACTGCGTTCTTTCGGCTGTCTTCAAGCTCCCTTTGTGGCTGGAGAGAGCTGTGAGGGTGCTGGCCCTCAGCACATAACGCCTTTTATAAAGTGGGTGTAGAAGACCCTCTGCCAGAGCGGCCGTGGTGGCTCAGGCCTATTGTCCCCGCTGCTGGGAAGCTTAAAATCATGAGGCCCTCTTGGAGAAATAACTAAGGCAAAAGGGCTGGAGAAAGGCTCCAGTGGTACAGCGTCTTCCTAGCAAGCACCAGGCCATGAGTTCAAACCCCAGTACTGCCAAAACAAAAGCAAAGACGAAAGCCCTTTGCTGTTTTCTCCTGCACCGTGTTCTCTGTTCCCTCTGCGTCTCTGGTGAGACATTTGCTCAACACCACTCTCAGCCTGCTGTGCCCCTTGTCTAGATGCAGCCCCCAGGGGATCTGGAGCAGATTCTGCACACTAGCAGGCTCCCGCCTCAGGGCTCACTCAGGGTCAAGTGCTAGGCCTTCTCACTCCACCTCCTGCCTTATCCTGGTTCTGACTTCATGCTGCTGCATGATCACGTCCTCTGACCAGTACTCAGCTCATGCCTTGCTACCTAGCCATCCGGGGACTCCTCAGTTTCAGTTGTTTTCCCCAGCTAGAACTGCTGTCTTGTTCGCTTTGGAATCTTCTGGACCCCGCCTTACAGTTTTGTGTTGCCTACAAGTTATTTTCAAGCCTGTTTCCGTTTTTTGTAGCTGTGCAGAGGGGGATTCCGTCCCGTCAGTTGCCGCCCCTGGGCGGTTTCACATTCATTTGCTGCTGGGTGACACTGCTCCCTGCTCACGTCCTGTGCTTTCTGCCTGTCCTGCTCCCCCCCATTCTCGGCCTCCCTCAGCTGCCCAGGCCCTGCTGGACGCCCAGCCCCACTCACGGCAGCGGGAACTTCTTCCACAGCAGCCTGGTGGGCAGCGTCTGGTACACCGTCTTCTGCTTGCCGTCCGAGCTGGGGCTGCTGTGCACGATCTTCGCACACTCCATCTGCTCGTCCCATGAGCCCGACAGCACATACTGCGCCTTGCCCTGGCTGTCGCTCACCACGCCGGTCACCTGTGGACATGGGCGGAGCCCTTTGAGTACGTGCCCTGCCCTGGGCCTCGTGGGGATGTGGGCATGGCACTGGTTACCTTCCGGGCCACCTCTTTGGAGAAGTAGCTGTAGGGCACAAACTTCAGCTGGCACCGGTCTTTGGTCTTATGGTTCACGATCTCAATGTCCCCTGACTGGGGACAGCAGGTAGTGGTCAGCTGTCGGTCCCTGGGCCATACCCCACCCCCGGGGGTGTCCCGCTCCGACCTGGTCGATCCAGAGCTTGCCGACGATGATGTTGTGCACGGTCGAGGTGCTCTTCCTCCACACATAGTGGTTCCCACTGCCCTGGAACTCCAGGTGGATGGCACCTGGATGCAGGCGCTGCTCAGAGGCCATCCTCCCTCTCGGGGCCTGGCCAGCCCACCCTCAGGCCCAGGGTGGGGAAGGCTGGGGTGGCACACAGGCTAGGAGGCCTGGCTAGCAGAGAAGTCTCCCTGGAGTTCCCAACCCGTGTCTGGACAGCTTTGTGCAGGAGCAGCGGGCCCTGGCTCACCGAGTGGCATGATAGAGAGGTATTTTCCCCGGAACTTGCTGGCAACGGTGATCTCCTGCCACAGGCTCCAGCCATGCTTGGAGGTCACATAGTGTGCAGCTGAGGGAGGGTGGTGGCTCACCTGGGACCAGATCAGCTAGACCTGAGCATTGCTGGACATGGACTCACACATGGAGTCCATGTGGACTTGGACTCACACGTATGCCAAGTGGAAAAGCAGCCTGTGTGGTACCCACAGGAGTGTTTCTGCACCTGGTTCTTGGGACACAGGGAAGTAGGGGGAACGGCAGAACTGGTGCCTCCAGGCTGTGTTGGGGACAGGCCACGTGAAGGCCGAGGAAGGAATGGTGCCCACGTCCCATTTACTCCTCACCACGTGCTTGGAAGTTGCACGTCTGTTGAGCTGTGTTACCTGAGCGCTGCCCAGCTGGCGAAGCCATTTTAACTGAGGGACAGAGTCTGGCCTGACTCCAGAGTGGAAGCGACATTGCTGTCCTGTCCTGCCTTGGGTCTCATCAGCTCTAATCCCCCGAGCTTCCCTCTTGCAGCGTTGGCCACTGCTGACCGTCACCTCTCCCTCGTTCTGTCGCTCACCCTCCTCATTCCCTGGCACCTCATGGTCTCACAGCCTTGGGCGGGCTCCTCCCTTGACTTTCACTGCCTCCACCAGACGGGCTCAACTTGACTCAGCCAGCAGGCTCCTGACACCCCCCCCATGGCTGTGGCCTCCTGCCTTAGCAAGTGGTATCCTGCTTACACTGCCAGCTGCCTGTATGATGGGTCCCTAAGCCCACCTGTCACCTGTGGTGGGGTGTTCCCATGATCGCCAGAGCTACCCCATGTGCAAATGCAGTGACGTGACCTCCAGGGTAGGACTCTGGAGCCCTGGGCCATGCCTGCTCATCCTGTTCCCACTGCTCACACTGAAGGCGTTGGCCTCACCCGGGCCTCTCCCGGGTCACATTCCTCATCACATCCTTCGTGAATCCTGTCTGTCCTTCCTCCAATGCCCCCAGCACTTGCACCTTCCCCGGCCTCCTCACCCCAGCCTCCCTGCAGACCACTCCCCACTGCAGCCATCTCCCAGAGTGAGCCATGGTCATCCAGCTTCCCTCCTCCCGTGTCTCCTCTCCTCCCCTCCCTCCCTGTCAGCCAAACCACTCCCTACCATCCCTTGTTTAAAAGATGTAGAAGCACCTGCCATTCCGTGTCAACCCCGCTGCCCCTGCCCATGAGAGCGAGAGCCCAGCTGTTTTGTCCCAGCTGAACTCAACATCTGAACAGCACCTGGCACATCCAGGGTACCTCGCATTTGCCAAGAACCCTGGGCTCACCCTTGAGTGGCTCCAACCCCCACATCCAAACTGTCAGCAGATCTGCTGCATGCACCTGCAGAACTGGCCATCACAGCCGTGCCACACTGGGCCTCCTCATGGGCTGAGTCGCAGTCCCAGCACACCTTTCACACGCCAGCTCCGCCAGTGGCAGGCCTTCTGTTAACCCAGGAGCCCGATTCTTTTCCAACCGGGTGCCCAGCCCACTGGGCCAGACACTGCTTAAATCCATGGGGACACTAGCCAGGGCACTGACCATAGGGCACAGTCTAGGTTCCTTCCACCTTTCAGCTCAACGGTGACCCACGCTGTGACCTGCCTGGACTCCCCAGCAGCACTCTGCTTCTTTCCACCTCTGCCCCACAGTTCCCTGGCTGGGAGATGTGCCTTCCCTTCCTGACGCCAGGCCCTACTGTCCCGCCAAGCCCTCCTCATTTCCTCACTGTCTCCCTCCCAGGGGAGGCCCCACTGCCTGGCTAGACCTCAGCGAGATGGTTCCTTGGGCCTGGGCAGTCAGGGTCAGAGGCTCTGGCCAGACAGAGTGGACGCCGCCCAGCCCCAGCCCCGTCCTGCAGGCCTCACCTGCTCGCAGAGGGAGCGCAGGCCCATGTCCTGGAAGCGGTCCAGCTCGAAAGTCTCCCCCAGCATGGGGTTGAAGGGCTTGGCGATGCGGTGCACGGTGGTGGAGTAGGAGGACACAGAGAAGGCGGCCACTAGGCACATCTGCTCCACGGAGCTGGTGCAGTGCACCGCCTTGTCCAGCAGGTGGTGGTACTCCAGGTCCTCGGTCAGCCGCTGAAGCATGGACAGGGGCTCGTTGAAGTTCACCTGGGGGGCGGGGCAGGTCATCACAGGACCCCTGCTCTTCGCAGGTGTGGAGGGACAAACTCACTGTGGTGGCCCCTCCACAGTGAAGTCCCTCTGACAGCCACCTCGTCACCTCCTGGGTTTTCCCTGAAGCCCATGCCACCCTCTGCTGTAAGGAGCACTCTGATGCTGTTCGCTGCCTCCTCCCTCCCAAGGACGCGACCTCCACAAAGGCCAGGGCACCGGACTTGCCCATGCTGCATGGGCAGCGCCAGGCATCAGAACCAGAGGGGAGGAGTGGCTAAGCAGAGCCTGGCGGGGGCGGGGGGGGGTGGTCGTCTCCCGCACGTTCTGAGCGGTCACTTAAGTTCTCTGCCAAGGGCTCCTGTGGAGGAGGCCGGCACGAATAGCCAGTCTTCCCTGGACTCGCTCCCTCCGTTCTCCCCGACACGGAAAGGGGCGCTGTCACTCCATTTTGTAGACAGGGACACGTCACGGGCCACACAGGGAAATTATCTGGCCTGCAGTCCCCAAGCCCTTCCTTGATGGAGATGCCACTGCAGTCTGGTGACACGAGGACCCAGCTCCACCCTTAGACCTGTGACCTTGTTGAGCCTCACGTCCTGGGAGGGTGGCAGGACTGGCCCGGTGTGAAGGAGGCCACCCCTCCATCTGCAGTGCCCACTCCTGCCGCTACCCATGTACCAAGCCAGGTCCCACGTCCTGCTCCACACGGGCCCCTCCCACCTCTCAGCCTGAGGACCCCTGCCAACTGGGACATGGCTGATCACTAGCTACGTGCTCCTCAGGTGCCCTGAGGAGAGGACATCCAGCCCAGAGCCCTCGCGCTGCCCCAAGCGCCCCACCGGCATGGGGATCCTGGAGAGCTCGCGGCCGATGCAGTTCTTCATGATGCTCCAGAGGTTGAGGCTGTAGCTTGGCTTGTTGGGGATGCTGGTGCGCCTCTTGACCTTGGACGAGTCCTTGGGCACGATCGAGGCACCTTCCCGTTCCTGTGGAGAACGGCACAGGCCTCAGCAGGCCGACCCAGCCTCAGGCACACTGCCCACCACGTGGGAGGCAGACCCAGGGACCCACGGGGGCCCGAGCTCACAGTGCTGGTCACCCAGGCTGGGCGTTGCTGCTGGGCTCTCGGGTGCGGCCCCCCCACTCACATTGTCTGCCGAGGTCCACTCCACGGAGCTTGTTACGGTGCCACCCTCGGCTTTTCTGCAGGAAACAAGGGGAGGCTGGTCACGGACACCTCCTTGTTACCTGGCCACCTGTCCAGACCTGAGGAACGCCAGGGTAACCAGAGGGCAGAAAGTGCTTCTGGTGCAGCTCCGTGCCCTGACATTTGTGGAACAGGCGGCCACAGCAGCCAGGGGTGACAGGCCAAGGGGCCAGGCTCTGGGGGAGCCTGTGGAGGGGCAGTGCAAGCCAACCAGGCCAGGAACAGGCCCGTGGTGGCCACGACCACAGGACAGGTAGGAGCCCCCTGGTTACTGGAGGGAGCCCAGATCCTGGAGGCTCTAGGCATGGGACAGGGGACAGCCTGATCAGTGCTTTCTTGGTCACAGAGCTACAAGTGGAAGGAAGGCCAGGGTGGCCAAGCTGCGCTACCTAAAAATGATCCTGAGGGGACGCACACTGCTGGAGGGATGGGCCTGGCTGGCGCCTCCCCTGGGGCGAGGAAGGGAGCAGACACCAGCCTGTTCCCCGCTGACCCCAGCCTGTGCACAGCCTGCCCGCCAATCTCGTTTTCCTTCTGCACCTGGCCACCCGCCATGAGCCTCACCCACAGGTGAAGCCCGTGGATCCGAGAGTCTGACAGCGAATGTGTTGGTCCCTGTCGTACTTAGTGTATTAGAGCCATCCTGAAAGGACAGGCTTGGAAGCAGGAGAGACAGCATCTCTTCTCTGACCTCAGATGATGACAAACGGCAGCTGGTACCCGCTGGGGTTCCCCTGTCCCAGGCTGGGACTCATCAGCCTGTGCCCTTCACTATCTCCATTTTTTTTTTTTTGCGGCTCTGGGGTTTGAACTGAGTGCTTCACGCTGGCTGGGCAGGTGCTCTACTGCTTGAACCGCAAGCCCCAGACCTGCTTTTCGCTTTGATTACTTTTCAGAAAAGGTCTTGGGTTGTTGCCTGGGGCTGGCGTTGGGCTGTGGTCCTCCTAGTTCTGCCTGCTTGTAGGTGGGACTGTAGATGTCCACCACCACACCTGGCTTTGTCGAGCTCAAGTCTCACTAATTTTTTGGCCTGACCTGGCCTCCACCTGGACCCTTCTGCTCCCTCCCTAAGAAGCGGGGCTGTAAGTCTGAGTCAGGGCCCCCAGCTTTCACCTCCATTTCAAATGACGCTCCAGATGCAAACGTTAGGCATGGTGTAAGGAAGAACAGAACCTGACAAAACCTTCTAGAACAGACCTGAGACCCCGGATACACAGCTGCTCGCAGACCAGAGGACAGAGTGGGCAAGGCCAACCCCAGGGGACTCTGCCAGATGACAGTGGGCAGCCCTGCTCACGGAGGCCCACCTGTCCTCGCTGGCCTCGGTGATCACGGTGATGAAGGACGTGGAATCTTCCATGGCATCGAAGTATTCGGTGTCCTCATCTTCCTCACTGTCCTCGCCTTTGGCCGTCAGGAGACTTCCTGGAGACCCGCGGAAACCTGCCTCACTTTGCCACCTCAGAAAGGGCTCCTCCTCCTGCTGGAGGCCCAGAGCCAAGGGCTGCCTGGCCTTCCGACCCTGCCTCCGTTACCCTGGACATGGCTGTCCGTGCTCCCTTCCCTGGGACAACGTGTTTCCTTTCAACACCTTCATGGCTCAGAGGCCGCCTCCTGGAAGCCTCCCCTGATCTCAGCATGGAGGTAAGCCTGTCTGTAGCCCAGCTTCCTTTTCTGATGGGTCCCCAGCCTGAGGTCAGCAGAGAAGCCACCTGGTGCCTGGGCTGCTCTGCCACAGAGGGGACAGTTGGGCTGACTGAACTTTTAGAATTTGAGACTACACATGGGGAGGCTGTCGCCAGCTGACTGTTGGCCTGGAGGAGCCCAGCGGTGGTGTGTCGGGTGTGTGTGCGTGTGTTGGGGTGCCTGGAAGCAGCTCGGTGGTGCCAGCTGGGGTCACTCACCCTGGCTGAAGGTCTGGCTGGGGCTGGCCAGCCGGCCCGGGGCACCACGGAAGGCTCGCTCGAGGCTGTTGTGCTGCTTGGCCAGCTGCTCGATGGTCTCCTCCAGGTGGACACGCTGCTCCTGCTCATACTGCAACGCCCGCTGCCATTTCCGGCTGTGAGTCTCAGCTAGTTCCAGGAAGTCCCTGCAGGCCTGCGAGGGACGGGACGGTGGCTGTGTGGGCAGCAGGCCCAGCCCAGGTGTCGCTGCCCGCCACGGCCCCCAGAGCTAGGTTACTGCTCCTCACGGCTGGGACCCCAGCTCCCCACTGCCACGTCCTCACTGTACGCTGACCTGATGTTTGTCACCACCCAGTCCCCACTAGGACTTGGAGCAACCTGACACTTCAGGCCAGGCCCTGGTTTTGGCAGAGAAGGAACAGAGGTGTATTCTGCTGTGCTGCCTGGCTCGGAGAAGTCGCAAGTCCTGTGCGGTAGCACTGAGCCCGCAGCTCTGCACCTGCTACCTCCCAGTCTGTCACAAGCTTCCCCCGCCGAGCCACATCCAGACCCTTCTCGGCCACGCGCGGTTCCGCCACACTGTTGTGAAGCAGAGCTGCGAGGAAGGCCCAGGCCTCAGCCATCCCCAAAGGGAGTGCGGTCCAAGCCAGGGGCCTCTGGATTCCCTGCCTAACCCAGCAGGAGGGGCTGTGTACCCCGGCCACACCTGCTATGTGGCTGCCTCCCGGCGCTGCCGTGCCAGCCCGCTCTGAGCACCACTGCGCTCCACGCATGTCCTCCGGAGCCCAAGCCCTGGGGTCCAAAATGTGCTTTTCTGGAGGGACTGGAGCGTGTGAGCCCCCATCTGTGACAGGGACCCAGGACATGCCACTTAAGCACCGTCGCTGAGGTTGGCAAGTTCCTGTTCATGCTGACCTCTTAGCAAGGGCTCCCCGACACTCAGCAGGTTTCTGGAAGCATGAGTGCGTCCAGTGGCGCCCCATCAGGGGCGCAGACTCATGGGGGTGGAGGAGTCCTGGGCCTCCTTTGGGGAGCAGATAGGCTCCCCACGGCTCTGCGTTGGGTACCTTCTTGGACTCCACTGGCTCAGACACCCCACAGGGGACAGCCTGTGGTACAGCTGAAGGGTGACAGATGGCTTTATACTTTTCAGGTTTTTGCTGGTCTGGGGTGCCCTGCCTGGAGGCCCACCTTGGCCCTCTCCAGCCCTCCTCCATCCTGTGTGCCCACGTCTTCCCGTGATCAATGTGGACAGTGCTTTGCCCTGGTGTAACCCACACTGCGCAAGTTGAGACACAGAGAGCCACGCAACAGAAAAAAGGAGCTGTCGAAGACCACGGTAATTCTCAAAAACTCAAATCGGGTCAGGCTTCCTAGAAGCAAAAGCAAAATGGGCTCACAGAGCAAGGGTGAGCTAGGCCCTCCTCCTACCCTCGCTGTTCCGGGCCCTGAATACTTCAGAAGTGATCTCTTTGTCCTCTGAGGGAAAATGGAGCGTTCTCCAAACACCTGGACGGCTGCAGCCTCTCACAGACCCGGCCCCCAGCCCGTCTCCTTGGGTGCCCTCCCCGAAGCCCTCACGTCCAGCCCACCTCGTCTGTGGCTTCCTGCCCTTCCCCTCTCAACCCTGAACACCCCTGGGATTCTGGTGTGGCCCCACCTCCCTCACAAGTGCTGAGCCAAGCGTGACCAGGAGGTGACCCAGTCCCAAGACCCCTGGGAAGTGTGTGCAGGGCTGGGGTCTGAGTCCCTGTGCACAGAGCCAGCACAGCCAGTTTGTTGGGGGAGGCTGGTCTTCACTGCTGTCTGGAGGAACAAGGGCAGAGCACCCTGTCCTGGAAGGCAGGGACTTTGTCGTGGGATCCTGTGGCCTTCGTGTGGTGGAGCTGGGCTCCTGGGAGACCCTCACTAACAGGGACGTTTGGGAGTGATAACCTGCCCAAGCACCAGGTCCCCGCCTCGGCCTCAGGGATAGGGTGCTGCCTCGCAGGGTGGCAGGCTGCTACCGGTCCCTTGGTCATGTGACCAAGGGGCTGTCTACCTCAGTTACCACAGGGCCAAGCGGCAGAGCGTCACTTCCCTGCCACAGCTGGGCACAGGTGGCTGAGGTGAGCACACGCAGATCTAAAGGGGACCCGGGACTTTTGGTACCAACCCTGGTGGCAGAGGGCACTGACCTACCCAGGTCACCTGTGGACTGCAGAGGCCCATCTGCCCCTCCACCCCCATGCACCCACCTGGTGTCCGTCCCCAACTCCCAGGGTCTCCTCTGCGGCTGCTGGCCCGCGCCAGGCCCCATCCTGGTCACGCTGTGCCGGCCTGGCCCCTATTTTGCCCTGAAATGCTGAGCTGGACACTGCCCCAGGGCTGTGTGCCCACTAAGCTGGGTTAAGCCTGGGGCCCAGCAGGGGGGCCTGCGCGCGGAGGCTGCCGGGAGGGCCCCAGGGAAGGCCAGGCTGACCCAGCCAAGTCCTGAGCTGGTCTCATTGTCTCTGAGGCTCTGTGACACCACCACCTGGGAGCAGAAAGCTTACACTCGCCCCTCAGCGGTTGAGAACTCCTACCCACCCCTCACGGATCCTGGGTCTGTGCAGGGGAGGTGGATGGGCCCTGCTCTGGGGCACGTACAGAACATGCTAGAACTCAGTGTCCTCATGGCATGGACCGGGTGCCAGGCCTGGGGACGCCTACAGAATCTGCGGTTCTGTGACCCATTCTGTCGATTGTCCCCAGGATGGGGACCAGTTTTCAGTTCCCAGCCCCTCTCCTTCTTCCCACCCTGAGGGTTGCAAGGGATGTGGGGACCTGGGGGGGTTCTGAGATACAGAGGGGCAGGATGGGGGGCTGGGGTGCAGGCTTCCCTGGACGGTGCAAGTCTGCCCCCGTGAGGAAGACGGGGAGTCTGCTGAGGTGCCCCCAAGGCGAAGTGAGACCCTTGAAGCCCATGATGGACAGCAAAGTGGGGCCTCCCACACGGGCGCTGGCCCTGCTCGGTTCCAGGCTGGGGCATCCTAGCCCTGCCGCCCACTGGGCATTCTCCCTTCTGAGGAGCATCGATTGGTGCTGAGCACCCAGGGGAAACCAAGTCAGCAACGGTACTGTGAGCCCCATGGGGGATTTGTCCTGGCTGCCTGGACAGACGCTCATGGGACAGACGGCACCTCATCTGGAAGCCTCTGCCCAGCTGTGCCGCAGGAGGACGACGGGCTCTAATCGCTTTTGCTAATCCTGGCACTAATCCTGCCTGTGACCACCTGTTCCTCGGCACAAGCGGGACAGCAAGCATGGGGTCGCGGCCTGGCCTGTGTGTTGCCTGGGGCAGCCTCTGCAACTCGGGAGGGTCTGTGGAGCAAGGACCCTGCCTGAGCTCGGCCTCCAGTGGCCCCTCAACCTGCCCGTGGCCTCCACTGTCACTTGCCTCATAGACAGGCGTGAGGAAGGGGCCAGACAACTTCTGGATGTTGGGGTGGACAGCCATTTGGGCCACATGGGGGAGGGGGCCAGGCTGTGTAGGCCCAGCTCCCAGGGCCGGGCAGGGTCAGGCTGGCCACCTCTCCTTGCCCTTTCTCACTGTGTCACAGCAAGGCCCGACCAACACTGTGACTCACGCCCCACGGGGAGAGGCAGCTTTCTGCTTCGTTCAAACTAAAATAGCCCTCCGCACGCTCAAAACGGTTCACCCCGTGCACAGGGGCCGGCACCATCTGCCTGCCGTTTGCCAGCTGATTTGAGACCATTCTGGAATCTATTTTTACCTGTCTCCCCAGGCCCCAGCTGAGCAAGCTGTCAGGAGCAGAACAGTGGTCAGCTGACAGGGACCTGCCATGGACCCCGGAAGGACCAGTGGCCACTCCGGGCCTCCCCACGGCTGACTCTGCCCCAGGGAGCCCCGCGTATCCCTGTCCCTGGGCAGTGAGCTAAACGGAGAGATCTCAGGTACTCCCAGCGGGAGTGGTTCCTGCTGACCTGGGGTCTTCATTTCTAGAAGCCTGGCCAAGGGCCCCAGGTTGCTGACTCTGTGTCCATGTGCCCATCCTCAGCTGCCCCTGTGCGCCGCTGTGGCCGTCTGGGCTCTGCCTCCCCACAATGTCTCCCATCCTCCCTGGGGTGCAGGGTCAGTCCCTGCCTTCCTGCTCTCTGCCCCCGCTGGGCACTGGATGGCTGGCTACCTGGCTTTGCCTGGGTGGAGAATGACCCTCGTTCATCCAGCTGGGACCCGGGGGAAGGCGGAGGGGTCCGGGCAGCAAGGGCCCCTGCTCTGGTGGCTCAGGCCCACACCTGGGAGGCCCTCCGATGGCCTTGCCTTCATCTCAGGGCAGCACCAGCCCTCTCCCTCACCCCGGGCTTCCTCCAGGGCCCTGACTCCCACCAGCCCGGTTCCCCAGCACAGCTCCTGCTCAAACACAAATTGGGTCGTTTCACTCATTCTGAGTGGGCCTAGGGGTGGCACCTGACACCAACCTCACGTGGCTCTTGGGAGGACACTGCTGTCACCACGTGGAGTGGCTACTCCGCCCTCCCCTCCTACACCCTCCACTCCTAGGCCTGTCCTTGAAGCTGGGCACTTTGTCTCACCACAACGACAATCTTACAGGAAAAACGGACTGGAGGTGTGGCCCGAGCAGTGCAGCGCCTGCTTTGCAAGTGCGAAGCCCTGAGTCAAACCCCAGTCCCACCAAAAGAAATCCGTAAACTTACAGGAAACGAGAATAAACTGGAGGCTCGTTCTCCTCACGCTACGCACGCTGATAGCAAAGCGTGAGCTTGCGGTCTGAGCTAGCTCGACCCTCTTCTAAGGGACAGACCCAAGCCATGCCCGGGGCACACTTGGTTCTGAGGCCGGCAGAGCCACTCTGCACGGTGCTCATTCCAGAGCCCGAAGTCACCCACTCGTGCTCTGGGAATTCTCAACCGAAGACTAATTCACAGTCACCCAGACAGGTCCCTGCGGGGACGGGGACGTGCTGGGCGGGCTTTTATCAGCAGAAAAGCTCCCGCTAGGCCAGGCAGGCTTGGCCAGGGATTCTGCCGGTCATCCATTTGCTCCTGTTGAATCGCTCGCTCTCCCTCCCTCCCTCTCTCTGTCCCTCCCTCGCTCTTTTCTCTCTCTCTCTCTTTTCCTCTCTCCCTCCCTCCCCCCCTCCCCCACCTCTCTCCCCCTCCATCTCCCTCCCCCCCCCAGGCGGACCCTGTGCCAGATAGGGAGGTTACAGGGCTGCTGGCTGCCAGGGACCGTGTGTCCTGCCCTTGCAGGGTGCCCACGAGACCCTGCAGACCTGAAGATGCGATGCTGGGATGGGGTTGCCGGGTGACATGTTCCTGACCTCCCGCCAAGTGAAGGGGAGGGACAGGTTTGTGTCCCTCCCGCGAGGACCGTGGAATCAGGAAGGCTTGGGACCACTGCCTCTGCCCCTCTGCAGGCCTGGCTGTGGCTTGCCCTGGCTCCCAGTGGAGAGGTGCCCGTGACTGGTACCCCAGGGTCACCCTCTGTGGGGCTGGGCCTTCCCTGCCCCTCCTCAGCCCTTCCCCATATTCGACTTTCGAAAGAGGCCATGTAACCCGACATTCCTCTTGAAGGTCGCAGCACCAAATACAGGCGTGACGTCACTGGGAAGGTCGGCTGGACTGGGGGCGCTAGGTGTGGGTGGCCTGCCTGTTCCCCGCGGAGTCCCACCCTGCAACAGGTGTGGGGAGGGCTCGGGGCAGTTGCTAACATCTGGGTTAAAGGCCATTGGGCAGGACGTCCCTAGCCACACGAGCCACACGGCCATGGCTCCAGCACAGGCACAGTGGGGTGGAGCACTGCAGTGTCACTCGGTGTCCAGGTGCAAGCATCTAGTTCCTCCAGCCGCACAGGGACGTCATGAGGACAGTGCCCTGCCCTTGGGGAGCAGAGGGCACATGGGTGGACCCGCACCCCATGGAGGACGGGCTCTTGGGGACTCTTGGGGCATATTCCTCGCCTGCTCCATTGGAAGGTTGGGGCCAAAAGGCTCCTGACACCAGACACCCTTTCCCAAAATGAAAGGTTGGAAAGCTGTTCCCGGCCTTTTCTCCTGAGGACCGAACAAGGCCGCATTCTCTGCCATCTTGGGGAAAGCGAGGCTGGCAGCCGGCCGGCCCTGGGTCGCCCTGGGCACTGCGCTTTCTCAGGCCAGCTGGCTCTAGCTCTGTTCCATTTGGCCCACACTCAGTCAGAGGTGACGGGGAAAACTGACCTCCAGGGCTAGCAGGAGGCCTGCCCTGTCCTTGGGGCCAAACTCAGGTGTGGGCTGCTGGAAACCTCCCTGCTACCTGCACAGTCAGGCAGAGGTGGGGAGGGGACATTGGAGCTGCATCTGGATTCCCACAATGGGGACAAATAGCTTCCTTTGGTGAAGCTCCTGTAAGAGATGTCTCCAGACATATGTGAGTGTGCAGGTGGCTCACATCTGTAATCCCAGCTACTTGGGAGGCTGAGATCAGAAGGATCGAGGTTTGAGGCCAGCCTGGGCAAATGGTTCTCAAGACCCATCTCCAAAATAACCTGAAGAAAAAGGACTGGAGGAGTGGCTCAAGCGGGAGAGCGCCTGCTTCGCCAGTGCAAAGTCCTGAGTTCAAACCCCAGTCCCACCAATAAAGAGAAATGTCCAAGAGACATTAGATTTTTTTTGTGCCTTCTGAGAACTAAGGGTGGCTTCCCTCTGTGGGTCCCCAGCCTCCAGGAGGGGCTCTGGTGGGACCTTAGGCTTAGGAAGTAGCAGTCACACGGCAACTTTGGGTAAAACACGCCCAAGACTCAGGTTCCTGGAACTGGGGTCCCCGGGTGGATGTGAGGTCACCCCTCCCCCCACGTCCTGACTCAGCGCAGCCAGGGCGGGGTGGGGGCATTTGCAGCCTCTGGGACTCTCGCCCTCAGGCTGTCACTCCCGCGTGGGTCCGCGCAGACCTGGTGAGCATCTTGCCTTGATGACACCGGGCTGTGGCAACACAAGTGACTTCTCTGCTCCCGTCTGGGACTAACTACCCAGTGAAACGACGAGCACGTGTGAGGAGGACTGGGGCGGAAGGCGCGTGGTGGCCTTAGTTACGGCCTCTGGCTCAGAGGGAAGCTGAGCCCTGGCCGGGGGTGACCTGTGCGTCCCCACAGCCCTCGGCAAGCTTGCCACACAGAATTTGCACGGTGTGCGACAGGGGGTCCTCGGTCCTCCTGGGCTGCAAGGCAGCCTGTTGGCCAGCCCTCACTTCTGCTGTCCCTTCTCGGCTGGAGCGGTCGGGTTCACACCAGTCCACCTGCGGAGCCCGACCCAGGGTGCGGCTCCTGCCACTTAAGGCCGACTGTCACACGCTTCCTGAGGGGGCTGCGTGTCCCAAACAACGGCTCGGCACGCGCTCATCGCCCAGGAGCCTCCGCAGTTGGAGAAGGGGCGGAGGCTGCCTCAGTGCGGGCGGTGTTGGCTTCCAGACGGACGGACGGACAGAGAAACATGAACGCGGCGTTGTGTCACCAGACGCTGACATCTGGGTGTGTCGCCAGGAGTCCAGGGACCTGGCCCCGAAGCTGGGAGCTCTGACGGAGGCGGGCGACCCAGAGGGTGGCTGCGGGGAAGTGGGCGGGCAGCGAGTAGGGTGGCCGTGCTTGCTGGTGGTCACCCTCAGTGCAGGGTAGGGTGTCCTGAGGCCACACCTGGGCCTCCAGGCCTCAGCATTTCTGGACAGGTGTGGTGAGGCCCCTCCTGTGTCACAGTCGTGCCGACCGGCTGGCGAATCCGGCCAGTGGGGGACAGGGTTTGGGTGCCCTGGGCTGATCCCTTGGCCTGCAGTGGGCTTCCCGCCCTGCCCTTGGGTTTCCTGTTGGGCCTGGGCCCTGGCACTTGGCCCTGCGCCGCGCCCTCAGCTTGGAGGCTTGGTCCCCGGCGGGGGCTCCCCTGGCCACTGGCACTGCCCACTGTCCCCTGCCCGCCCAGCGCCCTCCTGAGTCACAGTCTGCGCCTCCACGTCTGCGCACCTCCTCTGCCTTGGCCCGGTCCCCACAGCGCGTCACCCGGGTTCCCTGTGACTGGGGCCCCTGGCCTGCAGGTCCTCTCCAGGGCGCTGTCCCCGGGAGGCTGCTTCAGTCACGCCCAGGTCTGGAGGTGGAGGCCCGGGGGCAGCCCAGGCCGAAGGGAGAACCGCGGCTCCCAGCAGAGCCCCGGCTCCCGCGGCTGTGCCTCCCACGTCAAGTGGCTGCTTGCCGTGTCCGTGTCCGTGTCCGTGTCCACCTGCTGGCAAGTCCCTCAGGACCCTCGGCGGCTGAGACCCAAAGCTCTTCCGCCAGCCACACGCGTGCCTGCTCCCCGTGCACATGGGAGCCCTGACCCTGCTTCCTCTGCGGGGGGTAGGGGAAGGGCCACCGAGGGCCACTGTGGAGCCATGTCCTCAGCACGGGCTTGAGCTGGCCCTCTGGGCTGGCGTCCCCACTGGGGCCCTGACCCGTGTGCAGATCCCAACCAGATCCCCCGCCAACTCTGGAGGGACGCAGTGTACAAGGGGGCTGGCCTTGGAAGACGACTTGGAGCCACAGGACACGAGGCCTGATCGGTCAAGTGCTCGCGGCCGCCCACTCGGGGGCCCTGTCCCGCTGACACGGAGCCAGCTCCCCCCTCCCCCCACCCCGAGCCCGCGCCCCGCCCCGGTGACGCGGTGGCACTCACGTTGATCATAGCATTGGACGTGATGCGGAAGAGCGTGGCCCGCTCGTTGACCGCCTTCAGCTTCTCCCCGCTCTCCCAGGGGATCTTGAGGCTGTCCAGCTCGTTCAGGGAGCGCTGCAGGGCCGCGCCGTGCTTCGAGATGAGGTCACTGCACGTGCTGAGCTCGGCCAGCCTTCCCGAGAGCTCCTTGAGGGTCTGGTGGAGCTCGCTCTTGTCGGTGGGGGAGGCGGTCTCTTCGTCGTCGTCCCCAGAGTCATCTGTGGGGAAAGGCAGTGGCTTGGGCTGGAGCCGGGGCCCAAGCGGTAGAGTGGCTGCTTAGCAAGCGCGAGGTCCTGAGTTCAAGCCCCAGCACCACCAGCAAAGGAGACGAGCCTCTCTGGTTGTCATCACCACGGCCTGAGACCCTGCGGACAGCAGGGCAGATGGCACCCCCAAAATCAGTTCCGTGCACGGGGTGCAGTGGGGCACAGGCCCAGCGCCTCCCTGGCCAACCCCTACCCCAGGCCTCTGCCCCGTGCGCCCAGCGCACAGTAGGGCTCTGTGTCACGCCAGGCTGCTGGCTCGGCTCTCCCCGGTCCCCACCGCCATCTCGCCTCTCACACAGCTGCCAGGGGGCCCTTGTCGCCCCCCTTCCTGCCAACCCAGCCCGCATCGGGGGCCCGGGCCCGGCCCTGCCTCTCCCCGGGCCCAGAAGCACCCACTGGCGGCCTGTGGGTCCCGGAGCCCGCGCGTGAAGCCCTCGTTTCAGAAACAACAAAGGCTTGTCACGTTTTTTAGATGAAGGAAATCTGTCACCCAGGATAGAAACGCACAAGAAAAACAAAGGAAGAGGATGCGTTTTCAGAGAACAGATTTCGCCCCACGGCAGGGCAGGCAAGGCGCACGGGGGTGGACACAGCTCAGTCCCCGTCCCCTGTGTGCCCTGAGCCCATGGCACGGTCAGGCCAGCCGCCCGGGCCTGGGAGGGTGAGGGGGGCGCGTTCAGCGAGCCTTGTCCCCGTGGCGGGGCTCCAGGCGGGGGCAGTGACCTCCCTTCTGGCCATGCCCCAGAGTGACCCTGTGTCTGGCCCACTTGCTTCTTCGATAGGACATCCGAGCCTCCCAGTGGAGGCTGGTGACAGTGGCGCTTCCTCCCTCCCTGCGGGGACGGTGGCATGCCCTCTCAGATCACATCGCAGGCTTAGGGCTTCCCTATTTGGGGGCAGAGCCAAACCTGACTCCAGCTCAGTGTCACACGGCTTTTTCTCTCCCATGGCCTCGGAAAGGCTCCCCAGCTGGGAGCTAATGCACATGGTAACGCGGGGAGGTGGGTCTGGGGACAGAAGAACACTGAACTCACCCAGGACCATGAGGCAAGTGGATTCTGTAGCATGTCAGTCTGTCTGGCATCAGAACCTGGCTTCTGATGCCCTCCTGGCACTGACAGCCGCGTGTCACCTTCCTAATCTAACAACCAGCATGACCAGCCAATAACCAGGCAGAATGGTCACCAGCTGGCCACCAGGAGGACCCTGTGAGGGCGCATTGGCTGCAGTTCAGCCTCAATGTGACCCTGGTTCTCCAAGCAAGAGCTGAGGAGGGGACAGGGCCTCACGATGGCAGCGGAGTGGGAATGCTTCGGGGGCTGTCTGGGTTGGCTTGTCACACACACAAGAGGGCGGGCTCTGGGGCAAGAAGCAGGTGGTAGGGCCGGGCATGGAGGGACAGGCTGCAGAGGGAGATGGCGAGGGGGCCACTGGTGCAGGCCAAGGGTCCTGTTCCCTTTTTCCTTGGCAAAAGGGAGCAGATGGCATCTGAGCAGTGACCTGGAGACAGGCAAGACCGGTGGCAGGTGGGTGGACTGGAGAGACAGACAGCCCAGGGGCTGCAGTCAACAGGAGGGGTGAACTTGGGCAGACAGGACCCCTGAACCCCGCCACACCCAGAGATGGTGGCACTCGCCCAGGGACAAGGCCACAGGTGGCCAGTCACGGCCACACTCCCATGCTGTCCTTACAGACCTGCCACCCCCCAGGAGCAAGAGGCAGCGCCTCCGCATTCCCACAGCGAGGCTAAGGGCTGCCCACACACAGCACAGTGGCGTGACCCCAGGCCGGGGGGAGCAGAGCTGGCCAGTGATGGTCACCTGGCCCCCAAAACAAGTGACCTGTGGCCATGCTGAGTCCAGAAGTCTCGGTTCTATGTCAGGAGGCCTCACAAGGAGCAAACCTACACTGGACAGACAGATGGACGAAGCTCAACAGTTGTCTGCTGGTATCTTTGGGGGGCTGGAGCTAGAACCCCCAGGATCCTAAGCTCCTCCGACGTAGGCTGGTGCAGTATTTGCCACAGGCCCTGCTACCTCTCCTGCGTATTTAAGTGACGTCTAGATTACTTACGAGTTTACTTAATAGTACAGACGCCATGCAAATAGTTGTCCTGCATTGCCTAGGGAACAGTGACAAGAAATAAGACCCTTTGTATTGTTTAGGATCGATGCAATTTTTTCCCAAATATTTCTGATCTCTGGTTGGTTGAATCTGTGAATGTGGAAATTGAGAAATTCAGGGTCAACAGTTAAGAGATGCAAATAAAAACTATTTAGCCAGGTATGGTGGCTCCTGCCTGTAATCCCAGTTTCTCGGAGGCGGAAGTAGGATGGTTTTGGTTCAAGGTGACCCCGGGCAAAGGGAGCAGGGTGTGGCTCAAGTGGTGAAGCATTTGCAGCCCTGAGTCCAATCACCAGTGCTGAAAAATGAATCTATTTAATGTGATAGTCCCGAAACTAGGAAAAATACTGAATGGTATCGACTTAGCTTATGTTTTTTTGTTTCCTTGGGTTTATTATTATTTTTTTTCCTTTTTCTTTTATTATTCATATGTGCATACAAGGCTAGGTTCATTTCATTTTTTTTAGCAAAAAACGTACCCCAGGCTTGCCTCAAGTTTGAGAACCTCCCGCCTCAGTCTCCCAAGTGCCGGGATTACAGGTGTGCACCACCACACCTGGTGTAGTTTTTGCTCCCTGAAGGATCACACAGCACAGACACCATCAAAAGTCACGAAAACAACTGCGAGCCTCCCATCGCCCACTGTGTCCTTGAAGGTGACCTCTACCGGGAAGAAATTTATTCCAGAGTAAGGAGAGCTCCCGGATGTAGGGAGTTGTGTAGGGCTGCAGTTTCAGGATTCTGACCCTGGGGCCCCTCACGTTTTTAGGGCCCCCAGAGCCTCTGTGTTTCTGCTTCCCACTGGGAATAAAACTCAGGCCCAGGAACATCTCCGGGGTCACCAGGCCGCGCGTCAGCTATCAGCGCCACCTGGTGGTGGGCCGCTGGCCTCTGCTCACACACGCTGCTCGTGGGCTGCCAGGTCTGCGGGCATCTCAAGAGTGGGGCTGGAGGGGGGTGGGGAGGGTGGGGAAGGACGCCTTTGCTGGCCAGCAGCTGGGGGCAGGGGCCACTCAGAGGAGTGCAGATGGCACCCCGTGCGCCCACCCTCCACCTCCAGCCGCGATGACCGCACCCGCTGGGCCTGTGACAGGGCGCCCCTCTGCCCTCACCTCCGCCAAGGCCCTGCAGGCAGCCCTTCCGCCTCGCTCGGCCCGCGTCTGGCATTTCCTGCACCTGGTGCTTCTGGGCCGTGCTGGGTGAACCGCCCCAGAGCAGCCTGGGTCCCAGGAGGTCAGGAAGAAGCCTGGAAGGGGTGGCTTCCCGTTGGTCAGCAACAAGGCAGCTGGCAGGGCAGCCGTCTTCCAGCAGACAGCCAGGACAGTCACAGTGACTGCTGCAGTAGCATCTAGACTTACACAAGGTGCCAGGGTTGTTTTTTTAAAGCGCTACACAAATAATTCATTTGATCCCTGCTCTCTTAGCAGCTTCCTTTCACAGGAGCGGACGTGGGGGAAACTGAGGCATGGAGTGGGACGGCCCTTCAGTCAGCAAGTGGTAGAGCTGGGGTCCCAGCCCAGGCAGCTGGCTCTAAGTCTGTGCTCCTCACCACGTCCCCCCCCAGTCACTCCCACCGTCCCCCGTGTCCCGGTGCAGGCCACAGTGACCGAGAGCTAGGAAAGCAGCTGAGAGAGGCCACCCCGCTGTTCAGGTGACCGAGCAGTGACTTCCGGCCAGGAAGAGAGCCCCGGTTGCTGGGAGCCTGTCATGCTGTCTTTCCCGCCTGTGCCACGCTGAGCCGGGCACTTGTACGTTCAGATCAAAGAGCCACAGCGCGGTCCCTCCAGGCTGCGGTACATCCAAAGGACGCGGACGCCTGTGATTGTCAGAAGCCAGGAGAAGGGCCCGGGGACAGATCTGTCCCTGGAGCCTGCAGAGGGAGGGTGACCCTGCCAGTAAACAGCTCGACTGTGGCCTCCGAGTCCAGAGGGAATAGATTCGTGTTGTCTTAAGCCGCTGTGTGTGGCCAGCGGTCCTAGAAAACTCACACGGGGACCTGAAACCGCAGTTAGTGCCTCAGCAATTCTGCAAGTCCAAGGCCCTGAAATCAGGGTGGTGACGGGGCAGTGTCTCTCCTGGAGGTGCCCGGGGACAATGGAGCTGCCTTCTTTCCTTGGCTGTCGGCCCCTTCCTCCACCTTGAGAGCCGCAGGGCAGCACCTGTTCATCTCTGTCCCCGCCTCCCTTGTGTGCGGGGGTCACTGTGCCCATCTCAGGGTCTGTGCCGACTCACGCCGGCCAACGCGTGGCGGGTGACGCGTGCAGGGGTTCCAGGGTTAGGACCCGGCATCTTCGGGGACCACTGCGCACTCCTGTTCTGTGACTGCCGTTACCATTTGTTGTCACTTGCTGCCCGGGGCTGGAGTTGATCAGTGAGACTCCTTTTCGGGTGCGGGGACCTCACAAGTCCCTCTGGTGCCCTGGGAAGCCGGGCACATGCACAGGACTGCAGCAGGGTCAGGCACACCAGGTCCCTGGCTGGGGACGGTCACCGCTCCTCCCGGGACCGAGGCCCACGGTGACCTCACGGGGTCAGCACCTGAGGGTTTACTGTGGCTCCCGGGAAGGGCAGTTGCCATGGCAGCTGTGGTACCAGGTGGGCTATTTGTGGAAGTGGAGCTTTTCTTTCTCTTGGGAGGAAAATGAAGATTTTTGGGAAGCCCTTCGGGGGGGGAGGGGAGGCTTCTGAAACTAAAAACACCCAGAAGGCTGAGTGGGCCGACTTAGACCGGGAGCGGGGGAGGTGACATACAGAGGTCACTTAGACCGGGAGCGGGGGAGGTGACATACAGAGGTCAGGTGGCCGAGCTGTGGCGGGGCAGGTGCTGC